TCATTAATATTTATAAGAATATCATAAAATAGATGAGGTCCTCCTTGTGTTCTCCTGCTTCTGTAAAACACAGAAACAGCTCCACATTCAGGCCCCCAGTGCCCGAGACAATATACCTTTAACATCAATGGGAAATCAATTGCCTGGTTGGCTCACAGTACAGAACCTATAACTCTATTTTTTTATGGATATGGAAAATTATAGATAATTAGAAAATGTTGTATTAAAAATGCATTTAATGAAACCTAAATAGCGGGGCTAAAAGGGAGTTACATATTTGCTTGGAGTTCTGCTTTAATACCATCAGCAATACCAGCTACAGGTGTAGATTAACGTGCACCTGAGCTTAAGCTTCTTTAAAGGCTCTGTGATAACGACGATGCTAGATTTACAATTCCACTATTATCTATTATCTTCTTCTTAGGCGTGCACAGAAAACCCACAAAAAGTCAAGGTGCTAGAATCTGAAAATTGGATATCGTTGATGGGTAAGTAGATGTTCATGCTTTAGAAACCGCAAACTCAGTTTTCCATCTACCGTTCTGTAAGTAGAAACTTTCAGTTAGTCTGGATACCATCTCTACTTTTTGCTCTGAGGATGCTACAAGAGTTGATTGTCTTATTTCTTGTGAATCTGCTTTATTTCCCTAAACTTTTTAGGACTTACATGGGCACTCCTATTAGAGTCCTCTTCTAGAATTCTATCCTATGAAGGACATTTATTCAGAGAACAACCAGATAGAGCTCAGCATTTGGCAATTAGTAACTGGCTAACTACAGGACTTATCACAAAATAAGAACCACCTATGCTTGTGTGATATTACAGTTTGCAAGATGTTACATATTTACTAAGTTACCCATTTGCCCATTGATTTGTGATGGATGTAGGGAATAAGCATAAAAACTATTGTGTTTATAGCCTGAGATTGTCCATGTGCTTATCCTTAGTTCCAAATCCTTTCAAAGATTGTTTACAGTAGTCTGTTGAAGGAGCAAACTTTTCTTTCTTTTTTTTTTTACAGTTTGTGCTTATGTTTAGATATTACATTTCTAAATGTATGAAACACAGTTTTGTGTTATGAAGTGCCGAAAATATGCACTTAATGTAAGCACAAGGGCACATGTTAATAGTCTAATTAGATCAGGCACAATACTAATGCTACTTTAGAAAATAAAAATAAAGCCAATTTGGCTATAAATGTATCCTTGCTATCATGTTTGTCTCTGTGCTGCTTATTTTTTTCTTCTAAAGAGCAGTAAAGCTTCTCTCCTCTTATTGATATTAAAGATTGCAAGACCAGATGGAAAAGTTCCAGTTTAGCATTGTCAGTATATCACAGAACAATGCACAAAGTCCCTCTGGCTCTGCAGGTGTCATACAAAGGTGACTTGATCTCTACTGAAGGTGCACTCAACAGTTAAGGTTTATGGTAGAAGAAAACAGGCATATACTCAGTGGCAAATATTACATAGACACAGTGAATAGTTGAAGAGAGGGTCACTGAACCATCCAGCTGTATTTCACGTGAGTCAGCACACTATCATAGTACACTGGCATTAGAAAGGATGAGGAGATTAGCCTAAAACCAACTCTGTATTATGTTTGTATAAAAAGGTGCTTTCTTAGATTGCACATGAACATTAACACATTAACACATGAACATGTTTACAGAGAATATCAGTATAAGTGGAAAGTCAAAGGTTGTCTTAATTTGCTATCTGTTTTTGACATTAGGTTAAAATAACCATTTTAGATAAGAATGTTTTTATTTCACAATAAACTGGACCTTGAATGCAAGATTCCTTAATCTCACATGCTTCTATTGTAATGTAACCCTCAGCTACATCGTACAAAGCACAAACATCTAGAATCATGCTCCCTACTCTTTTTATATTAAGTGTATCTATGGCCAAAGCTTTTTTGTTTTTTTTTGTCTAGAACACAGCAAAGATTTTTGTCTTGAACATACCTACTGTATTCAAAATCGGTCAGGATTTTTATTTGTCACTCCATATGTTATTTGTTATTCCATAGATACAATAGGAAGTGAGAGAAAATCTCTCCAAAGTAAGGAAAATCCTTCCTTTCTTCGACAGTTGTCACTGGAAAAATTGTCCCAATCTTCAGATTTTAAAGTTTCAGGGACTACTGGTAATTTTGAATTTTCCATCACTTTCAGTCCCAGTTATGAAGACCAGGACCAACAGAGAGAGTAAATGTCCCCAACAGTGACGCCGACAACTGTACAAACCTGACATAATTTCTAACCCCTTTGCACTGTATCCAGAACTAACAAAAAAAGTTTTGGTTTTACATACACTTGAACGTAGCATGTGTTTCGATCATGACATTTTTAGACTTGGTGACCCTTGGCTTATGATACATTTTGGCTGGTTTCAAAATACATCACTTGTCCAAATTATTCATTCACAACTGTGCCTGCTGCAGGCGGAACATGGCTCATCTTAAATCTGATTAAAACATGCCATATAGTTTGTTTGTTTTTTTCCATTTTCACTCTGGCCCTTTATGACATCTCAGTTCCAAGTGTCTCAGTCCATAGCAGGCAACTAGCGGCCAAGTGACCTAAACACTGTACAAAACACACTTTAGGTTTTTGTTAGGTATTGTACAAGCAAGGAAGGTATTAAACGCATTTCATCATCCAATAACAACTCAATATGGCAGATGCTGTCACAGCAAATTCTCACCATACAAAGTAGTCTAACTAGCTAGCAGACTGTTTTGGAAAACAACACCTTTCTCTGCTCTTGCATACTTGCTCGGAAATGCAGTGAATATATACATAGCAGCACATGGTTTAATCACAGTGCTTTTGACCATTTCAGATTATGTAGGTCAATACTTTGCTGTTTTTTGGGAGGCAATGAAGACATATTAATGTCTTTTATCCCTGAATCTGTGGTTGTGTGCACAAAAAGAATGCTTCAATAAATATTTAGTCCTCAGCACAACCCATATTTGTGGAATAAGGACAGCACACTAAGCATTCTCTGTGTCAAGGTCAATGAGGATTGCACCAATAAAGTGATGCAGCTAAATGTGTTCTAAGTCGGCATCTAGTGTTGATGAATTGAAAACGTATGAATTGCATTACTGAGCAAGTGTTTCGCAAACTTGGACAGTTGAAGGAGTAAAGTGTGTTAAATGTGTACAGTTGCATACAATTTTATAGATGTTTTTAATGCTGGCTTTGAAATTTCTGTTAATCACATGTTAAGATGCCCTTTATAGAGCTGTGCAATAGAAATGCATATATTTTGTAATGTAAATGGAACTTCTAAACTGCACTGTAGTCAACTTCAAGGTTGCATCATATGTTATGATCTGGAGAAATATATAGTTTGCTCATTTTACATTTTAAAGGCAATTATACACCTATTTGAGGCATGGTTTTCCGTATATGCCAAAGTAAAAAAAATGTTTTATGTTTAAGACAATAATTTGTTAAATGATATATAGGATTCTTATTCTGGTGCAAACACAAGCAGAAAGGCTAAGAGTTCAACATGCAATAGGACCCATGCTTTAGAAACCACACCAGAAACGACTCAAATATCCTTTCACGTTATCAGTTCCCTTAACATCCCAGGCATGTGGCTTAGACTTTGAGGCCTGTATATGACATGCAAGCTTGAGGCTTAAAGTGATCTAATGGAGAACTTTCCTTAAAAATGTTTTTTTATTTCTTAAATTCTTGGTAGTACAGGGTTTGATCCCCCAGCAGTCCTTATTGTTGCCTTCAAATCTTATTTGGTTATCTGCTCCGCCGCCCCAATCCCAGTCGATCTGTAACAAAAACCACTAGGGGGCCAAAGACTCCATAATGCTGGCGTTCTTGTCCCTGTATTGGGTTCTCCAAAGGAATTCATTCTAGAGGGGAACAGAAAGTTTGCACCACGCCAAGCCATCTCCCCACTGTGGTTACAGGCACCAGTAAAGACCTCGAAGAGCATTGAGCCCTATCCGACTTGATCATAAGCTAAAGAAAGATTTTTGGGTTAAGATCTGCTTTAATACCTTTCACCTTCTTTATATGTGCTCGCTGGTAGGAGAGTAGAGAGAAGAAAGCATCTAGTCTGAAGGTGGTGTTATGAAACTATGTATATGTTGTCAGAACTGTGGAATAGACAAATGTGTGCTTCTTTTCAATTGCTATAAAAAGAGAGGGGGCATTGAAAGTGTCAGTATAGAGTCAGAAGAGCATAAGATGACAATTACTCATTTTTAAATGTGTCAGTTAATAAAGCTATGAATTGTTTTTCTACTGAGCTGATTATCATCAAGAAGAGAAGTATATTGTTCTTTGGTTAATCTGCTCAACAGAATAACTTAACTGTTATATTATTAATTTATTTAAAAATGCCAGTAATTTGCCTCTGTTGAACCTACTTGAGACTGTTTTCAATGCATGAGCAAGGAATAGTTGGCAGTATTAGTTATTTATGATACCTCTACAAATAGCACTGTTAGTACAATGGAGTGGTTCTGTAATTATTTAATTGGTTGAAAAACTGTTGCTGCTTTCTAAACTCCAAACACATCCTGGCAGTATCTTTTAACAGCCATAGCATGCCTATCGTTAGGCTTTAGTGTTTCTCTCTTATTTCTGTAGCAGCATCAATTTTGTCAGCACGCTGTACATAGGCTTTAGTTTGTATACAGCAAAGTAACTGCACAACCTTAGTGAGTGAAATGTGCAGGAGTCTATTGAAGAGAGATTCTGTAATGCATGTATAAAGGGGCATAATATCAAACATCATACTGCAACATTATGAGTAACAGCTACCAGGACACAAACTTCCTCCAATCCACCAGTCCCTGGCAACTGGTACTGATTGATAATAACTTTACCAGCCAGCATATTCCTGCAATGCAATGCCAATCACGTCAAAGGGCATATTCCATTAATCAGACACCTCCCCCTTCTTCTCATGCTGCAAGGGCCCAGTTTTCATCTGTTGTTTTTCAAACATCCTCACACATAGGCAGAGTCACTAGATTGAGTCCTTCCAAAGTTGGGTACTCCCATCCTGGGCAAGTCTTTATTTCTGATTTCATAAATGGATTTCCTCTTGGCCTGTACACCTCTAACTGCCGTCTTGATTTTCCTCCAGCCTAAGTGGTTTAGCTCAGCCAAGTTAAGAACAACACAGAGACCACTGACTGCAAACATAAAAACAAGAAACACTGTCTTTTCTGTGGGTCTGGATACATAACACTCCACCTCTTTGATGCACGGATACCTGTCACACTCATACTGAGAGGGTACATTGAACCCATACAGAAAGTATTGTCCAACAAGAAACCCAATCTCCAGGGCATTTCTGAAGACCACTTGAATAATATAAAACCTAGAGATTCCTTCCTGGCGCCTCATTTTAGATTTAGTGGTTCTTATGGAGGGGTTGGGAATTTCTTTGATCTCCAAGCAGTCCGGTTCAGCCTCCTTGGTAGAGTTTTCGGTGTTTTGAAGGACACCATTAACCAGTGTGTTCTTGATTTTTTTGCTGTCCTCTCTTTTCATACTGTCTTGGTCCCTGTCCAAGGTGAGAAACACAGTGGAATACCTCCTTTCCTTCTGTTTAGCAGACTGGTGCACGGAATAGGTGATAAAGCAAAGGCTTGGAGTACAGACCATAATGATCTGGAACACCCAGTATCTGATGTGAGAGATTGGAAAAGCCCTGTCATAGCACGCCTGGTTGCACCCCGGCTGGAGTGTATTGCAGACAAACATGGTCTGCTCATCATCATAAACAGTCTCTCCTACGATGGCAACAATGAGTATTCTAAAGATGACAACCACGGTCAGCAGAATCCTGAAAAGGAAAGCAATATGTTAGTCTTGCTGTTCTAGTGGAAACACATACCTGTCTGGTCAAAAATGCAGTACCAGTAACTTTTGATGCAAACCTCCCCTATTTCCGTTTTCTTTATCTTAGGACATATTGGGTTTCAGCATTTTTTTTTTTTTTTTTTTAACATTAGGTCCCATGTAATGTAGAGAACATCAGCTGCATGTGGAGAAATAATTAAATATGCGTGTGTGTCAGCAGAAATGGCTAAGGGAAGGTTATTGATTACTGCCCATCTTAGAATACAGTTTGCTAGTAGTACATAATGTTTAAGACATATACAGATGGCTACTGTTTTAGTATATCGACTACAGCTACCATCAGCATTTTGTTGGCTTGTGATTGTAAGTGATTTATGGTTAGCCCTGAAATGAATTAAAATACATGAGGAATACATGGTTTATTAACAGTGCTATTTTTAGACCTTTGTTAACGAGCAGCACTTGTACATCAATCATCTGAGCTAGCATTTTAAACTTTTTTTTTCTGTAAACCCCTGTCTCTATTTTGCTTTGCAAACATCTTATTTTTAGCCACATACCAACGTGGCACACAGGACATATCTGTCAAGATTTCAAACCTGATATTTGTACTTTTAGTGCACATAAAATCCATGAACTAATGTATTTCTCTCCATTTAACTTGTAATGAATCAAAGTGTCTAAAAGGAGCTGTTGTCTATAGCAGCTATTCAGTTTTCCCGTTCATTCTTTTAGTGCTGATTAAAATTGCTTAAGAAATTAGGGGTGCTATATGCAGCACAAACTATTAATTATTCGGACCTTTGAATAATTAAAATACATTTTGATCTTGGTGTCGGGTTTTAATTATTCAAGACAGGAAATATTTGTTGTCTACATTAAAATAGTTCCAGGGAGATCCAGGATGTGAACATCTAAGATTACATTACATCCAAAACACAGAGAAACAGTGTTGACAAAGGATGATGCTTTAACAAGCTGATGACACTGTTATGCTATTATTTGCCTATGCCAGAGTATGCAAGCTAAAGGGATGAACTCTGTCCTTGCAGCTTGATATGTGATTCCTAATTTATGAAATCCAGCTGCTTCCTTAACACTTTCATGGCCAGAAGGTCCAGCAGTGTTGTAGCAATACATGTCAGGAGCCTCTGGCAATTAAAGGGTTAAGATGATGTGACAGCAGTGATATGACAATGTGGCACCCCAGGCAAGGGGTTTGGATATTTTTGGTCAGGATAATTGGCCATGGGATATTTCCTTTTTTTCCAAGCATCTTTCGTTGCGAGAAAGGTTGTCCTTTCACATTGATGTGCATGAGGAGCTGTCCAGTGCTGAATTTTTTCCTGGAGGGGATTCCTGATTGGCTGTACATCCAGTGCACCCTGTCACTGCCACAGAAAAATATGATGTACTTTTTACCATCTCATTCTTAATTTCTCTTCAGATCATTGTTGACAAGTGTGAAGTATTAGCCCATTAGTTTTTTTCTTCTTTATGTATAAATGATCTTCACTTATGTCATTTGAAAAGAGCTGAGCAACATATGCAGGCAGCACATAGATTTATTACTTTAACATAAATAGGTGAGAAATATTATTATAAAGTTTACTTTTGGTATAATAATCATTCTTTGCTAATCCGAACATTTGCCATTACCAAACATGAGATCACAATGCTGTGATTTCACTTATATTGGTATTTTTTAGATTGCCATTGTGAGTTCTTGCTTTATTTTTTTCCCCTTGACTTTAGAACTATTTCATAGACTCATTATGGTATCTATTTCCAAGTCTGGGCATTCAGAGTTCCTATTATCACGCTTTCGTTAGGTGCAAGTTTTAATAGATCTCTAAAACTTAATTTTGATCTTAAATGTTGTTTGATACTTGAATACTTTCTCGTATAGCCCACTTACAGTACGGTATGTGATGACATTGCCTTCTTATTAGTAACGCATTAAAACAAGTTCCTTCGTTGTTGTTCGTGTGTGTGTAATATATGGATTTAAATACATTAAAAACTAATTAGCACAAATTGTTAACTTATATGAATTTATAGGCAGAGAAACTGTGGTGTAGCTTTAATTGAGTCTGCACATTTTAATTAAGCTTATCTATTAATTACAGATGTTCTACACCCCACAGGCATTCTAGCTTTTACCATGCAGTAGACTATATAGTTAATTTTAATATGAGACAAAAGCAATGCGTGAGATTTGCATTGTAAGCGACTGTTATTAATCACTGAATTTACAAATACATTTTTGTACCTTTTATCTTTTTTGCTAAAATAGCTAGTATTGTGGGGTGTTTTATTTACACATTTCATGGTAGTTCCAAATACATAGCTGTTTTATTTGTGAAAAAGGTGTATTATAACTAGGACTGACTGGTAAAAAGGGGGCATTGAAGTTTTAACCCTTTTATTTGTAGGTAACTACTGGTTTCTCAAACAAATATAGGAACTAAAAGACACAAATGAAATCAATACATCCTAGCTAGTGAAAAACTTGCATCATTATGTCTAAATATTTTGGTACAAGTGCAGCATGTGAAACCTGAATGAATCTGGTTTTCATACAGTGTGCAGTGTAAATCTTTCGAACCGCTGTTTTTTCTATTGAATAAACTTTCCACATCAGAGCTTTGCCTCTGCAACCCCAGCTGATGCACACCAGCCCCTGATGTTATGTGCCATATGCACCTGATAATAATGAGAAACATCAATCACACCCTCAGGCAGAGTTGTCACTATGTTCTGGGGGTCTGGCACAAATCCTGCTTTCCAGCAGATTGCTGCTATAAGTCAAGGAAAACGCAACATGCATTTAGGTTATTATTATTCCTTAGGCTAATACTTGCAGATACCTGTCTCTGTTCATTCATTCATTTATGTTTGCCATCAAAAAGTGATTACCATGAGCTGGCCAAAGTACAAACACCATGTAGTACAACACTGTATAAACAACAAATGATGAGCACTCATGATTAAAAAATGACATTACAGTTTTTATTCCACACTAAGATCTTTCTGTCTACCTGATTGTATTACCGGTTCTTAGCCTGATCATTACCAGGGTTAGACCACACTTTACAAAGTCCTTATATTTCTAGTTTTAAAAGCGTTCTTACCTTCCTATCATAGTACTGTGCTGTTGCACAGCAGCCTCCAGAAGTCTTTCTAATATAGTCCATTCTCCCATCGCTGTACATCGGAGACCTGGTGCAACGGGAGGCTTTTCACCTTCTCCAGAGGAAGCCACAGGGTGTAGGTGACCTGTACTCAGTGTAATCTCTGCCTGATGATCAGAGGTGTCCCTGCTCGGGGAGGCTGCTCACACTGTCTTACTGTCGGTAATCTCCCTTTAAGTAGTCTCTGCTTGCGTCACACAGACAGGTCCCTGGACAGGAGCCAGAGACAGCCAGTGGGATTCTGTTAAATGTTATTATAGCAGAGAAAAAGAGAAGAGAGAGGAGGAGGAAAGGGTGTAATGCAGAGATAACAGATTAATTTGTGATCAAGTGATTCTATTTAATCTTCTCCCCAGACTGCAAATCCTGAAACAAGAGGAGCAGACAGGGAGCTGATGTGAAGTGTGCCCATGGATTATAGAGAGTGCTAGTACTAGTGGGGAGGGTTGGCAGGTTAAAAAAAATGCTATTAACCTTTACTGTGCATCCATACAACAAAACGCCAGTACTGTCTGCTCTATGAGTATATATCAGAGAAGAATCTCATCGGACATCCAACAACTTTACCAAAAACAATTACTTCCAGAACTTACTGTGTGCAAAAAAAAATGTTTTTGATTAAAAATTAGCATGTGTATATAATTATATTTATTAGGGATGCTCTGATATCATTTCTTCTCACCATGGCTGTGCGTGGGTCTCACCAGGGCCGTGTGCGGTTCTCACCAGGATTGTGCACAGTCTCACTAGAGCTGTGCATGGTCTCACCACGGCTGTGTGCAGTCTCACCAGGACTGTGCATGGTCTCACCATGGCTCTGCGGTCTCACCAGGGCTGTGCGCGGGTCTCATCAGGGCTGTGCTGTCTTTTATGTGCGATCTTACCGGGGCTGTGTGGGGTCTCACCATGAATGTGTGGGGTCTCATCATGGCTGTGTGCCGTCTCACCAGGGTTGCATGTTGTCTCACCAGGGCTGTGTGTGGTCTTACCAGGGCTGTGCAGTCTCACCAAGGCTGTATGCAGGTCTCACCAGGGCTCTGCAGTCTCACCAGGGCTGTGCGCAGGTCTCATTGGGGGTGTATTGTCTTACCAGAGCTGTGCGCAGTCTCCCCATGGCTGTGCGGTCTCCCCATGGCTGGGCATGATCTCACCAGTGCTGTGCGGTCTCACCAGGGCTGTGTGCAATCTTACCAGGGCTGTGTGGGGTCTCACCATGGCTGTGCGGGATCTCACCATGGCTGTGCGCAGTCTCACCTGGGTTGAGCGTGGTCTTACCAGGGCTGCGTGCGGTCTCACCATGGCTGTGCAGTTTCACCACAGCAGGGCAGGGTCGCACTAGGGCTGTGTATGGTCTCACCACGGCTGTGTGTGAGTATTATCAGAACTGTGCTGTCTCACCAGGGCTGTGCGCAGTCTCACCAGAGCTGTGGTTGTCCCACTAGAGCTGTGCGCGGTCTCACCAGGGCTGTGTGGTCTTACCAGGGATGTGTGGTCTAGCCAGGACTGTGTTGTCTAACCAGGGCTGTGCGGAACCTCTCCAGGGTTGTGTGTGGTCTCACCAGGGTTGTGCTGTCTCACTAGGCCTGTGCGGTCCCACTAGATCTGTGAGCCTTCTCACCAGGACTGTGTGCGGGTCTCACCAGGACTGTGTGCAGTCTCACTATGGCTGTGTGCAGGCCTCACCAGGGCTCTGCAGTCTCACCAGGACTGTGCGCGTGTCTCATCAGGGCTGTGCAGCCTCACCAGAGCTGTGTGCAGTCTCACCATGGCTGTGCACGATCTCACCAGTGCTGTACGGTCTCCCCATGGCTGTGCGGGGTCTCAACAGAGCTGTGCAATTTCACCGTGGCCATGTGGTCTCACCAGGGCTTTGCCTTCCAACCATGGCTAAATGCGGGTCTCCCCATGGCTGTGCGCGATCTCACCAGTGCTGTGCGTTCCCACCAGGACTGTGTGCGATCTTACTAGGGCTGTGCGGTCTCAACAGAGCTGTGTGCAGTTTCACCAGGGTTGCATATGGTCTTAACAGGGCTGCGTGTAGTCTCACCATGGCCATGCGGGTCTCAACAGGGCTGTGCATTTTCACCATGGCCGTGCGGTCTCATCAGGGCTTTGCCTTCCCACCATGGCTAAATGCGGGTCTCCCCAGAGCTGTGCGGGAGGCGGATCTGACCAGGGCTGTGTGCAGGTCTCACCATGGCATGGCATAGGTAATCGCAGTAATCACAGTTCTGTGACAGCCAGTGAGTCGGGTTGCAGCTTACTGTGTTGTGGAGCTGGAAGCCAGATCAGTGTATTACAAAAGTGATAAAAAGTATCTCTGAGGAGAATACAGTATCTCATCAGAATACTTAGTATCAAAGGCCCATGTCAATAAAAAATTAACCCATTAGTGCCGCTAGTTTAAAGAAAGTTTGAAACAGTTAAGTTTTTAAAAATTTATCAAAATGTAAAAAAAAGTAAAAGTAAAAAAAAAGTTTAATAATAAAAAAATATAGTGCTGAAATGGTTATTAAAGTTAGGAGACAAACACACATCATATTCTTAAATCGTTCCACACTAAAATTGTATATGTATATATAGTTATCTGTCTGTTTTGTATACACATGTATCTGTTTGTCTGATTAATACATTTTTTGATATTCTTTGTACGTAGAGTCTAAATATATAAATTTTATCTCCTACCGAATAAATACATATATAACTCTGAAAATAAACTTAAATCTCAGACAACTGATTTACCCTATAAATCAGGACAAAGAAAATAATTTATTATAAATTACATTTTGTTAGCTACACTAATCATGTACACAATGTTATTGCCCAAACTGTTTTGAATTTTCTGTTTTTTTTAATAAGAATTTATATATGGATATGTCGCATCAGGTTAAAGCCAATTTGTATCCTTTAAAAACCAATATATAATGTGTAGGTGCAATGAATGAGGACATTATGGTTAAACAAACACATAGCAAAAATGGCAACATTTCTTCGGTCCCCAGGAACTAAAACATTTTCTGAAGCTGTGTCACTAATGGGTTAAGATACAAAAATATCTTTGCTAGTAAGCTCCATATGCCATGCTGTATGTTCTCTATGCAACACTGCTTTATTCCATATCCAATGCTGTATGTCCCCTTCTCTGCTCCTCCTCATTCCATATGCCATGCTGTATGTTCCCTATTCCACAATGCCTTATTCCATATGCCATGCTGTATGTTCCCTATTCCACAAAGTCTCATTCCATGTGCAAAGCTGTATGTTCCCTATTCCACATCACCTTATTCTATATGCCATGCTGCACATTGCTTATTCCACACTACCTCAATCTATATGCCATGCTGTATGTTCCCTTTTCCACACCGCCTCATTCTATATGCCATGTTGCATGTGACCTATTCCACACTGCCTGCTTTCATATGCCATGTTGCATGTTCCCTATTTCACACCACTTCATTCTGTATGCCATGCTGTACCTTCCCTATTTCATACCACCTTATTCTATATACCATGCTGTACATTGCTTATTCCACACTGCCTTATTCCATATGCCATGCTATACATTCCCTATTCTGTGTCATCTCATTCTATACACCTTGTTATTCGCACCACTTTGTTCTGTACACTGTACTGTACATTCCTTATTTTTCTGCATCAACTTTACAGGCCCAGCAGCTCAAGTGTGTATGATGTGTCTTGGTGTGCTAGCTAGTATCTCTAGCATGTGTGTCTGGGTGTGTGAGCACAGGGGCGCAATTTCAGCGCTTGCCATAGGTACTTTCCATAGCTACGCCCCTGTCCACAGTTTTTCCAAATGTAAAAAAAAAATAAGAAAACATTTTGACTGTATATGAAAATGTGGGTAACTTAATTGAATTCTGTGATATTATATATTATCTACCCCAGCCAGACACACTTCATTCCTAGAACATCAACATCTGTTACTTTGACTAGAAGTAACATAAATAATAACCCAGATCAGTTCAGTCATTTAGAATCATTGTCCTATGCCTCATTAGACACCACCAAGGCCTTTGATTAAGCAGAATGGCAGTTCCTGTGTTTGCATGCCTAAATACATTTGACTTTGGCCACAAACTGATTATTCTATATCTCAGTTAATAATATGACATTACCACCTATTCTACTGCATTTGGGGATTTCCTTTTATTCTTGTCATAGAATGATTGTATATAACGATACAAGAGGAACAATTATTTCAGTGTATACACACTGGTAAAAGGCAAGACTGAGTAGTGCTATATTTAGATGACTTAATTTTGTAACTGGACCAGGCTACCATATCAGTTGCAGGAGGTTTTCACTTATAGATCATTTGGACTGTGGTTTATCTATTAGTTGGCAGAAGTCAGCATTAAAGCTGGACTTCAGACAAACTGCTAAATAAACAGATGAAATACATATAAGGGATATGTTTTACCTGTTAAAAGATTTGTATTTCTGTCCACATCTCAGCCACACAGCACTGCCTTGTCTGGTAGGACAGAAAGCATGTTTTTTTCTGCTGCAGTTAAGTAGCATTTACAGATCTTGACCTTCCCCCACTTATGACTGGACAGTGATCCCCACAACCCCCTCATATAAAGTGCATAGTGCTGCAATAAGATAAACACATAATAAATAAAGAACATAATAAATAAAGAACATAATAAAGAACATACTTTAAGATGATGCATTCACCCAGCCCCGCTAAAACAGCAAAAAGACATTAAACTGGGCTGGTTGGTTAGTGCCACGTTTGTGCCCTAAAAAGTATGCTTTTTTTTTAAGGTAATAGAAAAATTATTTTTAAGATGAGGTCATCACCCAGCCCCCCTAAAAAAGCAAAAAGACAAGAAACTGGGTTGGTTGGTGAGCGCCGCATTTGTACTGGTTCTCCATTCTATCTCCTTTCAGTTTTGCCGATATAAAGGATACCAAAGGTCACCCAGCCCCCTACAACAGCCAAAAGACTGGTTGGTTAGTGCTGGATTAGTGCTGGTTTGTGCTG